TTGATGTTTTGGATCCGGTTACCCTTCCTCAGAACTTGCTCTTAATCCTGAATGTGCTTTTAGTTGATTAGTTTGCTCAATTTCTAAATGTTTATCAGTTCCTGTTCTTGCATTTTCCACTTTTCATTGAAAGCACATTTTCTACAGAATTACACATCCTCCTCTTGTTTATCTTTCCTTCATGTAATTATCCTCTAGAAAATGATTTGCTTGTTTGTGTATATTCCTCCAAAAATGGGCTGCAGAATTGTACAATGTATGATGTACTTGTGTATTGTGTGATGTCCACCATTGACATTTCTCAAACGAGCCTCATGTATGAAGAGAAAAAAGGTCGTATTAATACAAATGTGGTTTGCTGCCTGCACCTGTATGCTACCAGCCAGAATAAGATGTATACATTTGAATTGCAATCTTAATGCACAGTGCTTGCACTCCTTAGATCATAAGAATTAGGAGTGGGAGTAAGTCTCTCAGCCTGTTGTGCCCGCTCTGCCATGCGACGAGGTCTTGGCTGATCGTGGCCGTACTCCCTTTTCTGCTTTACCCTTCCTGAACCCTTGACCCACTTACAGATCAAGAAGCAATCTGATTCAGCCTTCACTGTTCTCTGGAGAAGAGAATTTCAAATGCTGATGACATTGCATGAAGAAGTCCCTCCTCCTAATTATCTTAAACTTTTGTTAAGCGGTACCCAATTCCACATTCTGCCATGGGAACAACCATTATCTCACAAGCTTCCTTGTCAAGCCTCAAAAATTTAACCTGCTTCAACAAGTTGTTATTAGTTCAAATTCCAGTGAATAGTAGCCCAATCTGTTGCACATTACTGCATAAGATAACCCCTTCGTCCCAGGAATCGACCTTAGTGATTCTGAACTGCTGCCAAGACGAGTGAGGAGACCAAAACTGCACGCAGTTCTCCAGATGCAGTCTTCCAAAGCCCAATAGCAAGACTTGCCTAAATTTATCCTTCATCCCATTTGCAATAAAAGGCAACAGTAGATTTGCCTTCCCGAATTAGTTTTTCTTCCTGATTGCTCACCTTTTTAAATAATGTGTAAACACACCCAGATTCTCCTATATTACAGGATTCTGTGGACTGTCTTCATTTAAATGATATTCTGCTTTTGTGTTTCTCCTGTTATTGTGGATAACTTCTTTAATTTTCCACATTATTCTTTATCTACCCAAATTTTCTCACACTGAAATCAATGTGTCCCTTAGCAGACTCATTCTATCCTTTTTTCACCTTTCTTTCCTATTTCATTGTAGGGTGAGTAAATTTGACTACAATACTCTATCAATGACTTGGATGAATAGACATAGTCATAAGTAGTTGAGGCCCATCACTGATCTTTGCGGCGCTCCACTAGGTAGTTTATCAACCTGGAATTGACCCTTTTTTTGAAATCTGTTTTATGTTGCCAATCTTTTTACCCATGCAAAGATATTACCCTCCAATACTATGAACTTTTATCTGGTGCAGCAACTTCTTACGTGGTACGATTTCTTCTGAAAATCCAACTGTATTACATCTACTAGTTTTCCCTATTCCCCAGCCTGCATGTTACATCTTAACTATGTCAAACACTATTTCCTGTTTGCAAAACTTTGGCTCTGCCTGATTGTAATATGGCTTTCATATATGATCCACTCCTGTTGTCTTAGTAATGGATTCTAGCATTTTACTAATGACAGATATTAAGGTAACCAACTCACTGTTTCTTGCTTTTTGTCTCCCTTCTTTCTTGAATTGGCATGTACATTTGAATCTTTTAAATTTGCTGGTATTTTCTACAAAATGTAGGGGATTTTGGAAGTTATATGTCTGAAAGGGTCAATCAAAATAACCACGATCGTGCGTTGTCTATTTCTGTAGCCATTTCTTTGAAAATCCTGGGACGGAGGCAATCAGGTCCAGGGGCTTTATCAGCCTTTCATCCCATGAGTTTTCCTAGCATGTTTTCTCTAGTTGTTGATTGTTTTAGCTTCTTCCTACATCTTTACCTTGTGATTTTTTAAAAAAATTGTTCTTGAGTTTTCTGTTTCTACTGTGAAGACAGATGCAAAATACTTGTTTGAAGTTAGGATTGAGTCAGTCCATTTTAACACACTCCTGTTAAGTTCCAGAGCTCCTTTAGCTCCTGCAAGTGACTACATGCTAATTGAATAATTTACTTATTGCAAACCAAATGGGATTTGAAATGCCATGATTCTTGAGCCTCATCAGAACTGTTTTCAACTGTACTATGACGAGTGTTAAAGTTGTCACTCCAATTTTATTCTGGTTTGCAAAATATAAATCCACAACAGCTAGTTGTGCTAGATTTCAAAGTCATTCTAAAATTATGCTGGAGTGGACAAGTATTTTTTGTAATATGATCCTAACTTTTCAAGTCTGATATCCCCCACCAGCACCCCCCACACCCCCACCCCTTCCTTTGCAATCGAGGGTGTTGTGTAGTCTGACTTCTAAAAGGGTGGAGAATTGAGACTTTTTTTTCCATTCATTAATGGGATATGGACGTCACTGGCCACGCCAGCATTTATTACCCATCTTTAATTGTCCAGAGGGTAGTTAAGTGCCAACCTCCCTGCTGTGGGTCTGAAGTCACTTTTAGGGCAGACTAGGCACGGACAGCAGTTTCCTTCCCGAAAGGATGTCAGTCGACCACATGGGTTTTTCCTGACAATCAGTAATAGTTCATTGTCATCATTGGACTCCCAATTTCCAGATATTTGTCGAGTTCAAATTCGACCATCTGTCACGGCAGGCTTCAAACCCAGATACCCTGGACATTATCTGTGTCTCTGGATTAATAGTCAAGTGATAATACCACCAGCCCGTCAGGCTGTAAGCTTGTATATTTTCTCATGGCCATACGGAAATTATAACCATTGATGCAGTTATCTATTTTGCTGTTCATCTCTTTTCTTTCGTCTCTTCACTTTCATCTCTTCCATGTGTGGTTTCTTCATATTTCACCAGATTAATTGGCTGGATGATGTATCAGTTCAAATATTGTGAGCTCAACATGTTTGATGAACAGCAACAACTGAATGTAATTTGAAGTTTAATCTTCTTGACCTACTGGGTTACAAATGTTGCCTTTTCATCTTTCTTTGCCTTTTCCTGACTTTTGTGCATTATCAGAATTGGTGCGGTTTCAGGGACCTCGTGAGAAGCCTCTGTATATGATGTTGAAGTCACCATCTAGAGATACGGACGAGGAGATGGTATAAAATTGCAGCATTATTTTTACACTTTTCTCTCTCCTTTGGGGAGAGTAACTTCCAATAAAATTCTGACCCATCTGAAGTGAATTCTAATAGGGCATTATTTTATCTAAGTGGCATTTGTGTAGCCACTTGCTGTGCCTCAGCAAGTACTTCATGTTTTGGGTCCTGTTACATTGAATAGAAGACAGTTATCCTTTCATGTATCTCTGTGAATTTTGTCCCCTGTCATCAATATAAACAAGCTGTTAAATCACCAGAATAAAACCACTTTCAATTTTCCAAATGCGTGGATTAGAGATGCTAACCTATTTAGACTGATGCACATTGGAAGAGATTTCCTGGTGGCATGACAACTGAATGTGGTAGCTATGACTTTACGTTAAATTAAGCGACATAACTAAGGCTATCTTTTCCTTTGGGTGTCCAAATTGTGCCTGAGAGATACTTGGAATGTCATTTATCCTTGAATGCTACTTGTGTCATGTTGTAAATTACAGCCTAATCTGGGTGAGTCATCTAATTGGGATTTGACTGGAAGGTTTTGGAGCTCATAGCTTTTATTGTGGAAGCAGTAGGTTTTCCAACTTCTCCTGGTACTAGCATACTAAATGCTTGATTTCAGGCTCGACCGTTTTGGAAAACATCTGTGCTATAATGAAACAAGTGTACAATAGTTGAGCCAAGACAGCAAAGTGGACTGTACTGTTTTGACCCATATTTTATAGTGTACGAGCAGCAAAACTATGACCAATCCTGTTGCATTTGTGAACTAGAGAAGGATTGATTGAGTTTGATGTTTTGGACATAAAAGTAAGGTGATCATCAATTATGACATAAAGGTAAACCAAGAAAGCTGAATTAGTGGTCAGAAAGATGTAGTTACAGATAAAACATTTGAACTGCAGTTGAACATTCTCGTGGTTATTGGAGTGATCAACTTTTGACATGAATGGTGCCTTATCACTTTTTTTGCATTTGTTTGCAGTGGCTTACTAACTTGGAGAAAGCCATTGAGTACAGGGGACTTTGTGCTTTTGCTGCCATTTGTATCTTATTTTCAGATGTGTTCACTTGGACAGTATATGTGTCATTTTGAAGAATGAAGACCCCAGTGTTTAGTGGAGACTTGCTAAGGAATTGTTCAAGCAATCTGAGCATGATTGCTTTCTTCCAGCCCTGCCACCCTCCACTTTGTGTACTAGGATGGGGTGGTGGGAGCAACAACCTTCCCTATAGGTGTCCTATATTTTATATTTATTTTATTTTATATTTATACATGCAATTTAGGTATCACTGATTGGACTCAGAGCTCAGTTGCACTGCTGAGAGTTTGGAGTCACATGTAGGTCAGACTGGATAAGGATGGCAGATATCATTTCCTGGAGAACATTTAGTGAACCAGATGGGTTTTTATGACCGTTAACAGCAGTTGCCATTAGAGTAGCTTTTCTTAATTCTAGATTTTTGTCAAATTCAAACTACTATCAATCATCGTCGGAGTTGAACCCATAATAGGTTGAGGTTCTGGATTACTAGCCAGTGGCATTACCACTACACCGTTGCCTCCCCTAAATGTGATGTCAGCAACTGTGCTGTGTTAGGGTTTGTAAGTGCAACAGCATGGTGCTAAATGTTTCATTGCTGAAATCTTCTAGCTAATATGATTCAGTTGAGACTAATAACCTGTATATGCTGCAACGCATCTATTATCAAAGATGTTAACGTGGTGTAATTCTTGGATCTCTTCTGTCTCCTAGGTGCTGTCAGGTAGTGCAATCATTGTTCGTGGTCAGCCACGAGGAGGACCGCCACCTGAACGGCAAATTAACCTGAGCAATATCCGTTCTGGTGCCTTAGCACGACGTGCTGCTCCAAATCAACCTGAAGCCAAGGAAACACCCGATGAGGTAAAATCTTGTTTCTAATGTCTACCTGTTTGGGATGTGGCTTACATTATGGGATTACTTAACCAAAAAGCATCATGTTCTAACATAATTGCATCTGAACTGATTTAACCGAACAAGGCCAGGAAAGGTGGTATACAGATTTTGGTTGGGAAATGGTAAATGCGAAGGTGGATCACTTCTGACATATTTAAAGGATGTGTGCATATGCAATATTTCCTACAGCTGGAATATTAGCCTGATGTGTTGGGCTGTTTACACGTGGGAGATGGTCATTACCATCAATTTACATGTAAAATCTCATGTACAGTAAGTGTGTTGATCAGAAGCATTGTGCTTTAGCTGAGTGTTTTTAGTTTAATTTTTGTATTAAAAAATACGTTTCACAGTTTGGTTAAATTGGGAGATTTTCAACATTAAGTTACTAAACATTTATTGGCCATTTATGTTTAAAGGCTTCCAAGTGTGGAAAGTACAGGAGAACAAACTGAATACAGAGCCTGAAATAGACATTTTAGGAAGTGTCTTGAGCTGTCAAGGTTGTGTTTTATCATGAGAATCTGTAGAAACTGATGAGGATAATAACATTTGAGGTTTTAACTAAAACTTATTGCAATAGCTGAAAATACAAAATATTCATTGCTTTGTACTTGCATGACATTCAGTTTGGTGTTGTACTAGTGCACTGATGTTATCCTATCTCATTTGAACACAGATAAAATGAGACGCTGGTCTTGGTCATGTGTGTGTAAACAAGAAAGAAAGCACTTTGAGATATCCAATTTTGGGAGAAAGGTGTGCAGTTATATTGAAAAGGAAAAGGTAGTCTGAGCTGGATGGATAGAGGGAAGATGGGAAAGAGTGGTAGCAATGGAGAGAAGCAGGCCAGGGATGAGATTTGAGGAGAAAAAGTAGCAAGGGGATGTGTGAAAGTAGGAAGGGAAGAGTGGGGCACAGGCTAAGTAATAATTGGCATTTGACAAGCCGGTGCAGGCACAATTGGATGAAATAGCTATCTTCTCTGCCGTAACACGTCTGTGATTCTGTAATTGGGTTGGGGGGGGGGGGTGGGGGGGGAGGGGAGGTGGTAAAAGGGTTGCGGTGGCAGGAGACTAATGCTCTTTTGTAAACATACTGGGAGTGATGTATGATGATTAGAAAGAACTTATTGTAAAGTTTAATCTCAGCAACTGTCTGGAATAGTCATTATACATTTTTGAGGTTTATTGTTGATGATAATTATTTTCCTAAAGATTGTTGTTGACCAGACTTAAACCCCCTCAAGATATATTAAAAAGGTAGCCTAGATCCTAACTTTTTCTTATTTTAAAGGTGTGTAAGTCACTGTGTTCCAACTGCAGTTCAATTGGCCAAACTACTTCAAACCAAACACCCTTTATTTTTACACGAGTTAAAATACAGAAACAAGTAAAAGAACTGGCTTAATTGAAATGCTTAACAAAATACATAAAGTGAATACTCCTATTATGAGTGGACCACTGATGCCTTACATTTAGTTAAAGCTTTACAGCCTCAAAACGGAGCACCCATGAAGCATTGTGATCCATTAGCATCAGCAGGATTGGATTCAACCACAATCTGTAACATTGTGGCGTGATTACCATATTATTTTATTCTTTTACTGGTTTTAAAGGCTTTACTGATCCTGTCTTACCATTAATGCAAAATTTGTTTATTTTACCTTTCAATTTCAATCTTGATTGATCATGGTTGATTTGTTCCCTTTCTGGAATTGTCCTTACTAGAACGTATCTGTTTTTTGAATCATGAACTGTGTTCTTGAATGTTTGCCATTGTTCTTGACCTGTCTTTTCTGCTAAACTTTCATTCTCTAATTGAATGCTAAATTCTCCAAAATTATGGTCAAAATTTCCTAGGGGCTCTTTTACACTGAGGTCATTTAAGCTTGCCCATTACTGGATTTAAAATAGCCTGATCCCTGTTTGGAGCCACAACATATTATTCTAGGAAACTGTCTTGATTACACTCCAGGAAGTAGAGAACAGAATCCATCCGCTGAATTATACTATCCAGTACCACTACTGTGTTCCATTTCCCCCTCCCATGTGGGTGGCTTTTACAGTTTGTTCCATCCATCGTGCAGTCCCCACTTATGCCCACAAAGCTTGCATGAACCTCATAATTGTTGGACAGTTACAGGCGCAAAGGCTCCTTGGAAGCTAGCCTTGCTGTCCCTCTCTCTGCCTCACCTGCAGTCACGTTCACACCCCCCAGGTGCTTGATCACAAATCAAATTTGTATTTGATTAGCCTAGTCTGAGGGGAGTGACCATGTCCTGAATCAGCGTCGGGGTAACTGTCCCCTCGCTGATGTGGCATGATGCCTGCAGCTTGGACCTCAGCTCCTTACCTCAGTTCTGAAGTTTTTTCAGTTGCATACATCTACTATAGTCACCTTGATGTACAGGGGCTCCCACGTGCTGCTGCAGCAACACGTCACCTATCCTACCGTAAGTATTGCATTTAACTTACTTAATTAATCACGCTATAATCACTCCTTTTTACACTTTGTTATAATTTTACAGTTTCTAAAAACAACAGGGATAAATCATCCACATTAAAACCAAAACCTGCAGGTGCTGGAAATCTGAAGCAAAAACAGAAATTACTGGCAAAACTCAACAGGTCTGGTAGCACCTGTGGGAGGAAAGTTAAAGGTGTCACCAAACCCCATGTTAACTCTGCTTTTTTTCCCCAGCTGCTGCCAGACCTCCTGAGTATCAATCTTGTACTTGACAAGCTACTTTTAGGAAAATAGAGAAGGAAAAGACTAGAGACCTGAACACAGGAGACCCAACTTTTGCTTGAAAGATTAGAAATATTCATCAATCCTGCTCATCAGTTGGGTGCTTTTGCTGCTGTCATGATTTGGTTTGTGATGTGACTGTACTCCTGCTCTCACTGTAGGTAGGCCTCTTGATCCGCACCTTTTATCCTCTGCTGCTTACCTCTACATTTGGATTCTTACTACTTGCATTAACCTTTATTACAAATATTTCATTTCTTCTTTACATTGTATTCCCACTTTGAGCCAAATTATCTGACATACTCACTCGACCTTTGTCTCAGTCACGCAAAATCTCTGCTCACAGTGTCCTTATTAACTTTATAAATGTTGGTTTTGCCCTTCAATTGGTATTGTTGCGAATGGTTCTGATGCGTGCAAGATAAAAAGCTATGGGAGAAATTTTTGAGCATAGTTCTGTGTTACCAAATTATTATTTAGATTTACTATTTGCGTTATTATAGAACTTAATTGCTCAATATAATGGTATTATTGGGTATATGCAGCAAACAGTTGAATTGTTTTAAGTTTTGAGCAACGTTATATAACAGTTGTATGGCTTTTTCATCTTGTGATATGACATTTTCTTTTGTGGGGGTGTATAGTCATCTGAAGACACATCAATGACTTTTGAGGTGTCTTGCACTGATGTTTCTTACTTTAATCACTTTTGGAAGTCTTTTGCATACAGCTAAATGCGATGCAGGATATGTCGTAAAATGTTGAAGCCTTTTTTGTAAATGTTTACATGCGTTTATGGGATGATCAATGCTCTTAATTGAGAAAGAAGACTGAAATATGCATCAACTGTACCTGTGCTTGGATCTTAGATATTAAAACCCACCACTTTCTAATGCAAGGTGAAAGTGCAACCAAATGAACCAAACTGATGCAGATAATTGACTCAGAGATAGTAGGAACTGCAGATGCTGGAGAATCCGAGACAACAAGGTGCAGGGCTGGATGTGTTCATCCAGCCCTGCACCTTGTTGTCTCAGATAATTGACTGTTGTCTTCAAAAGTCCAGAGAAGGCTGTCTTCCCTTTAATGAGCTAATGCTGTTTAACGTGAGCAATTGCTGGGTATGGTTTGCCACCTGTATTTTGCTCAATGTTAGCATTACATAAACCATAAACATTGATCTAACACACCTGTCTGATTTGATTTCAGAAATTTTAATTGACTTATTGTTTCCCTTTTAAGAGTGTATTTATTGTCAATTACGTCTGGCAATGTTATTCATTTTACCTTCGTTGTTCTGAAACACAAAATGCCAGGGAAACTCAGTAGGTTTGGCAGCATCTGTGAAGAGAAACAGAGTTAACCTTTCAGTTCTGGTATGACTGCACTTCTGAGTCATACAGACTCAAAACGCTAACTCTGCTTCTCTCTCCACAAATGCTGCCAGACCTGAGTTTCTCCAGCTTTTTCTGTTGCAGACTTCCAGTTTCTGCAGTATTTAGGTTTCATAATTGTTGTTGTTCATGTACTTTTCTTTACAGCCCTGGGCTTGGCCAGCACGAGAGTTTCTCAGGAAGAAACTGATTGGAAAAGAGGTCTGTTTCACCGTGGAGTACAAGACTCCCCAGGGTCGTGAATATGGAATGGTTTACCTGGGCAAAGGTTAGTGAGTTATTCGTTATTCTTTATTCAAGTTCAGATTTTGAGTAAATAGCATCAAGTTGTCGTTGTCTCTGTCTCAGTCGTAATGTTTTGGGGAAGAGAGGAGCATTACCTGGTGAATTTATCCCCAATCCTTGGGTCTGTGTAACCTTTATGATCTAGCTGGTGTTAATACTGGACAGGGCAGATCCCAGACTGAAATCTGACTTGAAAGACTCCAACTTTATTGTGAACAAGAGTCTGCAGCAACGTTTACTGCAGTTTCTCTTGCTGCTGTGTGGAAATCTTTTGTGGCGGCAGCCTCCAGAAGTGACCATCTGTGTACCATTGATACGTGGGGAGCTTTCCAGATGCGGTACGGCCAAATGTTTGTCTGCATGTGTACGTTAACGTGAAAACACTTAGTAGATTAAGAAAAATGTGATAGTAGGATAGACAGTTTGGAAAGTTTTAATGGCAAACACCAGACAAAGATTCAAGCTTACACTGTCCCTTTAACTCCAGCAATATCTTTGCAAATACCCAACCCCAGCTAAGAGTTGCCACTATCTCCAAACCAGGACTTCATGGTGAGGCTGCCACAATACACAAATAGGAAGAGTTTAGAGGGATATGGGCCAAATACTGGCAAATGGGACGAGATTAATTTACGGTATTTATTGGCATGGACGAGTTGGACCTAAGTGTGTTTCTGTGTACGTCTCTATGACTCTATCTGCAACTGGCTTCCTTTCACCGTGTTTGTGCATATTCACGAGATGAATTTTCGTCACCTAAAACCGCAAGCAAAACTGATTCTTCCTTTAACTTTAGAACAAGCGTATGACTTCCTTAAACTCAATTTCTAGTAGAATTGTAGGACTTCTTATGAGACAATTTTCAACTTTGCCCTTCACGCTTTGAAGTGGATGCTGACTCCCTTCTGGATTTTTCTGTGTCCCTGGACTTGTAATTAGGTAACAGCACAGTTCTTTTCTCCCCTTACCTTTTTTCCTCTCGACTATTAACCCCCGTCTCTTCACTTGAAACCTCATTAAAGTACATGCAAACCAACAGGCCTCCAGACTTCTTGCAAGTAAAAGCACTCAAAAATGAATTTAAAATCAGTCTCCCTCTTTTTAACACACAGTACAAAAAATAAATTCAACTTATGAGATGTACATTGTTCTTAATGCCAGTATAAATAACACCACCTTTTCACTGTTGTGTGGCAATAATGTCATATCCAAAAATTTGCCCCCCCCCTCCCGTATGAAAATAAACCATGGATCTTTGTCTGCGTGTCAAGAGTTCAGATTCTCATAAGTAACTTGTTCAGCAACCTTACTGTCAATCGGGTTTTAACTATAATTTGCATTTCTTGTCTTCAGATTCTTAGTATCCAATATTTTGGACCACTTCCAATAATTCTTTGATAACCATCTGCCATGGTGGGGTTAGGGGGAAGACAAGGGCCTGATGGTTTAAAGGCTGGATTGTTAATCCAGAGACCCAGGGAACCCAGGTTCTGGGGACCGAGGTTCAAATCTTGCCACAGCAATTAGTGGAATTTGAATTCAATTTAAAAAATGTGGAGTTAAGACGCTAATAATGACCATTGCTGATAGCCAGAAAAACTCATCTAGCTCATTAATGTTGTTAAGGGAAGGAAATCTGTCATCCTCATTTGCTCTGGCCTACATGTGACTCCAGGTACACAGCAATGTGGTTGACTCTCGGCTGTCCTCTGAAATTGATGGCAAAAATGCTGGCAAGCCAGCAACATCCACATCCCACAAATGAATAAAAAAAGTAAGGAACAGGTTGAGGGTTTTTCGAATGAGACACAATTCGGATTCTAGAGAATAGTCATTCATGGTATCAGTCTCTTACACGTTGTTGCAGACCATCCTTCGTTCTTGTCTCAGCCACCTCTTGCTCAGAAACTGTTGCATCTCAACCTTTCTCAGTTTTGATTAAAGGCCATTGACCTAAAATGTTAACTTTGTTTCTCCATAGATGCTGGCTGGTCTGTTGAGTGTTTCCAGCATTTTCTGTTTCTGTTCCAGAATACTACTTGCACAGTTGCTACATTGGTTCTGCTTTAACTGGTCACTCAATGATGTGTTCTGTTGCCAAGTAACTGGCAGACGGTGCTGCTGTTTTTGCTTCTTTCTTTGTGTAATCAACATTTACCTGGAAATATGCCTATCATTCACCTACCCAACCAATAAATTAAATCATGGAATCCGATTATTTAGAAACTATCCTGATGTTTTTGCCTTTTTCTAGGCTGAAAATTTCATTACAAAAACATCTTGACGTCACTTGAGTTGTGCTGTAATTAATAGTCAACGTTTGGCACCTTGTTTTGGAACTTTGTATTTCATATTTCCCCTTTTGATACAGTTTACACCATATCAAAGTTGACGTCTCAGTTGCCTTGTTTCAATATAACATTTTCTTCTTAATTTCATGCAAGTAGACAAGAATTGGTGCAATTAATAGTGATTACAATGTAAAAATTCTCTGTGGCCCAGATATCAGACTCCCAAGCTATCAAACAAATCCTTTGGCTGGTGAATCAGTTCTCCTCCGTGTTGAGCACGGCTAATTAGAAGAAACACAAAATGTGGTAAGGGCATAGAATGTACTTTGGGTGGGGAATTTCTATGAACATCACCTTGATTCAGCAACGCCGCTGCTGACCAAGCTGGCCAAGTCATAAAGGACCTGGCTGTTAGACGTTGTCAACATCAGATGAGGGCATGAACGAGAGAAAAATGTAGTTGACCAGCTCCTCCACAACCTTTCCATCACAAATATATTTGTCCATGACAGTATAAATAGGAGAAATCACGCGACAAACCTTGAGGAGATGTTCCAACTTCACATTGAAGATAACTTTAGTTGTATTGTGTGGCACTACCAATTGCAAAATGCTGTAGACTTTGAATAGATCTAGCAACTGATGCCTGATCATTAGCAGGTAAATTGTATTCTATGACATTAAAATCTTTTCCTGGCACAAATACCATCCCACCATTATGATCACGCTGGGGAGCCACCCCTGGTTCAAAGAAGAGTTCAGGAGCACAGCACCAGGTATATCCAAAAATGAGGTGTCAGTTTCTGAAGGTTTAACATGGAATTATTTGGCAAATGGCGGAACCAGCATGTGATAGCTGGCCCAAACTGTTCCACTGTCAATAGATCTGATCTAAACTCTGCAGTCCTGCCACATCCAGGCATGAATGGTGGTGGGCAATTAAACTAACTGGAGGAGGAGCTTCCACAAATATTCCCTTCTTCAATGATGGAGTCCAACACATCATTGCAAATGACAAGCTGAAGCATTTGCATCCATCTCCAACTAAGATGTCCCCAGCAGATGACCCATCTCTGCATTCTTGAGGTCCCCAGCATCACCGATGCCAATCTTCCAATTTGGTTCACTCCATGTGACATGAAGAAACCGCTGCAGGCATTGGATGCTGCCACATTCTGGCAATAGTTTTGATGACTTGTGCTCCAAACTTATCACCATGTTGTTTCAGTACAGCTAAAGTACTGTCATCTACCTGGCTAATGTGGAAAACTGCATAGTATGTTCCGTTCACAAAAAGCAGGACAAGTTCATAGCAGGACAAGTTCATACCAGCCAATGGCCACCTTATCAGCCTACAGTAAAGTCTACAATTAATCATTAGTAAAGTGATGAAAGGGGCCTCTATCAAGTGTCACATACTTGAGCAAAAAGATGCTCATTAAAGCTCTGTTTGGGCTGCACCAACAAGACTTGGCCCCTGTGCTCATTCTTGATCCGATCACTAACAAAAGAGCTGAGCTCCTGAATCAAGTTGATGGCGACTGCTGTACAGATAAGTGACAAGAAACCTCTGGACCCCTCAAATACCAGGCCATGTCACGGACAACATTCCCCCCTCAGCCACTCCAATGTTTTGCACTCTGTGACCAGCATTGGTATGCCAATTGCACAATTATCGTCTGGTTCCTTCGTCACCGTACCCTGCGTGCATTGGAGGACTGCACAGCTGGTAAGAAGATTAAAGGGTGCATTGGTCACAAAAGGATCGCATCACCTTCCCATGATATTCAGTGATGTTACCACTGCTGAATCCTCCACAGTTAACATCCTCGTGGTACTATTCACCAGATGCTGAATTGGATCAGCCATTTAAATATTTTGCTACAAGAGCAGATCAGAGGCTAGGAATTCTGCAGCAACTAACTGGCGTCTTGCCTCCCCAATGCCTGCCTACCATCTACGAGGCACAGTTCAGGAGTATGAGGTAATATCTCTACATGCCTGGATGAGTGCAGCTCCAACAACACATGAAGTTTGTCAGCATTCAGGGTAAAGCAGCTTGCTTCATTGACACTCCAAACACTACCTCTGACATTTCTTCCCTTCTCCACAGTGGCAGGAGTATGTATCATTCACAAGATGCGCCTCTTCAAAGCATCATTCAACTTCAATATAGTTACCATTTAGAACGACAAGGGTGGCAGATATATCAGACCACACCACCTGCAAGTTTGCTTCCAGACCCCCCACTGACTTCACTTGGAACTGTGGCACTGTTCCTTCATTAGGTCAAAAGCCTCAAACTCCCATCTTGACAGCACTGCAGTTCAAGAATTCAGCTCACCATGACCTTTTCCAGGACAATTAGGGATGAGCAATATGTGCTGTCCCAGTCAACGATGTCCATATCCCATGAATGAACAAGAAAAATGCTATCACTGGAGCTTAAAAAGTTAATGCATTGATGCTTTGTTCAATTTGAATTTTCTATTGAAACTGCAATGTAATTTATTTAAAAATAAACTGTGCTCTTTAAAGAAACAAGTTCATATTTCAGATGTCATCAAAAAGTTGTCGTGTATATTAGTTGAATTGCTGGAAAAATATTATGCTACTCCAAAGCAAAGGCTAGCTGCTGAAAGTTTTCTCCTCCAGTGTAGTAATTTATCTAAGGAGCAGATTTGCTGCACCAGGCTGGCTGACCTACACTTAGTCCTACTTTGCTGAAACACACAGGTGGTACAAAAGTCTCCTTGCCACAATTAGAGTCCTACAGCATGGAAACAGACCCTTCGGTCCATCCAATCCATGCCGACTATGTTCCCAAACTAAACAAGTCCCACATCCTTGCCTGGCCCATATTCATCCAAACATTTCCTATTCACAAATTTATCCAAATGTCTGCTGAATGTTGTAACTGTATCTACCACTTTCTGTGGTTCATTTCATACTCAACTACTGTGTTTTAAAAAAAAACTTGCCCCTCATGTCCTTTTTACAATTTTCTCCTCCCACCTTAAAACTATGCCCTCTTGTTTCGAACACCCCCACCATACGGAAAAGACCCTTTGCATTTACCTTATTTATGACCCTCATGACTTTATCAACCTCCTACCCTCCAGTGAAAAAAGGACCAGTCTTTCCAGTCTATTTTTATACCTCAAACCCTCCATTCCTGGCAACATCCTGGTAAATCTTTTCTGAAACCCCTTCGGTTTAATAGTATCCTTCCTATAACGGGGCAACCAGAAGAGGCCTCACAAACCTCCTATACAACCTCAATGTGAAGTCCCAACTCTTACACTTAAAGGTGTGAGCAATGAAAACCAGTTTGCTAAACCCCTTCACAACCTTTAATCAACCTCTGATAGATCTGATTGAGATAGAGGCAGAGTTGTATATAACATGGCAGGTTTAAAAAACAATGAACTGCTGGAAGCATGCCATTAAAAGTACCATTCATGAACATTAAATTCAATATTTCTGGTGTAGATCTTTCTACCTGAGCCTGAGGATCTCGTTGAGCATCATTTTTGTTTTAAAAACGTGGAAGTGGGGAGAGAGCAGACATAAAGCTTGTTCTCATGCACTCCAATGCATGTGCAGAATGGCCATTGAAGTTTTTGTTCATTCCTCTAAATGCCTCCCTTCTGTCCCAGGTTCCAAAGTATCTGGACTTTGTGTCTTGGGTTTTCTCCACTCATCCATTGAACATACATCAGTGGCTTTGTTGCTGATTCACTCCTTTATAATTTTCCCTCCTTTTCCTCAGATGGAAAACTGCCTGGCTGTTAAAGCATCGATGTTTGGGGTTCACTGAGTTTCATTTTGTGGTTTAGTGTGGTTGGAATTCTTAAATTATCTCATTTACTGTTTTCAAGTTTCAAGGTGCCTGCTATACTGCTAATTGTTGATTTTTATCAGGTTGATTAGTTGTTAGATGTGGCTCCGTTGCTTCAGTGATAAATTTAAATATTTTTGCGTTTGGAATCTATTATTGTGGCACTTGATGCAAAAATGGATTTATTTTATAAGTCTGTTTGTGCGGAATAACAAAGGAAATGATCATGGGCCATTTGGCACATAATCAGGCGCTCTCGCACACCTATCATATCGATGTGTTGTGACCTTTAACTCGACCAATCCAATCTAGACATTTCTGATTGTATTAACTACTTCATTCCATTGCTGATTGATTCTTCATGCAAGACTATTACTTGGTTTCTCGATTACTGTTTTGTGAATCGCTGGGCTGTAAATCGTTTTTAATGTAATTTTTTTGATAATTCAGATACAACCGGGGAGAATATTGCGGAATCGTTGTTAACTGAAGGATTGGTTTCAGTCCGTAGGGAAGGAATTCGAGGAACAAAGTAAGTACTATTTTTTTTTAAAAGAGACTTTGAATTGGAAGGAATTTAAAACATCCAGTTTTCCTGTCCTCCATAATTTATAGTGAACTTCCAATTTGTTAATTTATCAGGACAATATTAAAATGTTACAATAAAATGACAACTATTGGCTTGAAATACCAACCTTTCCCCTCAGTCTATCTTTTCTGTCTTTTCTTCATCAAATATGGTTTGCTTTTGGGTTGATGAATGTGATTGCTTTAGAAATTCTGGGTGCTGGATTGTTGAGAAGTTAAAATGTCTTGGCATTACTACATCACTGACCCACTTACCATTATCACTTCCCAATTCACATCTGATTCATTTTTTGTGGCTGCAAACTATGGGGCCTAGCAGCATCAATGTTCCTTGATCTCTGAGACAGTTCGACAACTGACCAAGTTGGAACCCCTTGGAAATTAAAGCTTGCTGAGATCCCTTTTGAAGTTGCATGGAAGGAATAGAGATAGCATATGTTTATGTTGTTAATTCTTCTATCTTGCTGCCTTTAGACCCTGAGGAGATGATTTGAGGGAACCATTAGATTTCAAAATCAGCTTGATGGAAGAACTGCTAGTTAGATGTCATTTCCCAGTTTTGTCTGTAGTACTCTGCCACTCCCCATCAATGATCTGCAAACTCTTGCTGAGAACATTGATATACTGTCAAATATTTGACAGTGTTGCTTGTCTCAGATGTGAAAGTGACTTGCCCTGTTCCTGTAGGAATATGTCATCTCCAGTGATTTTACTGAAATTGGAAATTTCATTGTACAGGGAATTGATGGTGTGGGATAAAGATCTGTTTATCATTCACCACAGGTGTCGCACAGTATTGGAGACTTCTGTCTTTGTTTCATCTATGCCAATATTCTCCCTTCCAGTTAGATGCATGAATTTCACCTTAAGGTATAGAGCAATAGATGTATAGACCCCTTTGGTATGTCAAACAAACTGATATTTAATTGTAAGAGTCAAAGCAGTGTGTTATCTGGCTGTATATCTTTGTCTTTGGAGTAACTTGGCCAAGGCAGATTGCATTTTCATTTCCAGTTGAGTTTTGAGTAGCAATTGAAAGTGGTGTTTGTCTTGACATTTGTTCCATACTGTCCAACCCAATACCTCCTCTCTTTAGCCACTCCCAAACCTGTGTAACACTGTCACCTTGCATTTCCTCCTTTGCAGCTGACAACTCTCATTCCCACCCCCCCAACACTCCTAACTTGTTTTCATTTCCCCTACTAGACAGAGTGCATAATCTGTCATTTCTACTGACCAAATTTGACTTGCCACTTAAAGCCTGAAGGGGCAAATAAGGACATGAAACGTGCTCAACATTTAGAAAACCTAAAGGCAATTTATTAAACTTTTAAAAACAAAGTTGCTGGAGAAGCTCCGCAGGCCTGGCAGCATCTGTGAAGGAAAAAACAGAGTTAACATTTTGGGCCTGGTGACTCTTCCTCAGAACTGATGGTGGCTGGGAAAACGTCAGTTTATATGCAGAAAATAGGGAGGTGGGTGGGGTAGGGAGTAAATGATAGGATAGAGCCCGAAGAGAGAGACAGTTGGGGACAGACAAAGGAGTTGATCACTATCAAGCTGGGAGGGTCAATAGATAAGAGTGTGGAGCTGGAAGAACGCAGCATTAGAGGAGCAGGAAAGCTGACGTTTTGGGTCGGGACCCTTCTTCATTTCACCATCAGTTCTGAGGAAGGGTCACCGGACCTGAAACATTAACTCTGACTTTTCCTTCACAGATGCTGCCAGACCTGTTGGCCTTTTCCAGCAACTTTTTGTTCCTGATTTACAGCATCTACAGTTCTTTAGGTTTTTATTAAACTTTCAAACCTTGTCCTGTTTTGCATAATATTCAGTGGTATCCTTGAGGCAAGTTAAATCTGTTATGCCCTACAATAATTGGTATGTGAGATAACAAGGTGTAGAGCTGGATGAACACAGCAGGCCAAGCAGCATCAGAGGAGCAGGAAAGCTAACGTTTCGGGCCTAGACCCTCCTTCTCCATGGATGGTAAACTTCAGTTATGTGGCTAAGTTGGAGAAACTGGGGACGTTCCTGGAGGAAACAAGATATTTCCCAAAATGTCAGCTTTCCTGCTCCTCTGATGCTGCTTGGCCTGCTGTGTTCATCCAGCTCTACACCTTGTTATCTCAGATTCTCCAGCATCTGCAGTTCCTACTATCTCTGAAATAATTGGTATGTGTTTGTGCCAGAGATTCCTCGTGATGAATTCCCAGTATCTGCCCTTCACATTTGTTGATGTAGGGAAGACCTTCAAGTTACGTAGAATTGGAGCGTAGAAGCTGACCATTTGATACATCTAGACTGTGCTGGTGCTTACACTCCAAATGAGCCTCCCTACACCTCCAGACAGGCATTTCATTATAGCCACCTGAGAGGACCAACTCTGGCACATCTTAATTCATTATCTAAAAAACAGTATTTCTGAAAATGTAGTTTTCCATCTGTACCTTATTGGAATGCCAGGCTGGATTGTGTGTGCCTCGCTCTTGGGTCAAGCTTGAACCCAGAAACTGACACAGGTGAGAGTAGTACTCACTGACACACACTACTGCGACCGAGTGCAACAAAAGCATAATCATATTGGTGGTACTTACATTCAATAATAGCAGAGGCCTAAGAGGCAAATGGTTGACCAGATTTTGTCTGAAGTTCTATTTTCCTGAGTCTCCATCTGCTAATTTTATCAAAATTTTCTCTTAGCCCTGAGCAAGCCAGACTTTGTGAACTTGAAGAACAAGCAAAAGCAGCTAAGAAAGGAATGTGGGGTGAAGGAGGCAGTTCACACACCATTCGAGATCTGAAATACACCATTGAAAACCCTCGTCATTTTGTGGACTCCAATCATCAAAAACCAGTTAATGGTTAGTGAATGAGATTAACTCTTCCAACAGTGTGTTTTGATGTTTCATCTTGAATCCTGAGTTGTATTCAGTGTACTCCATTATTGATGTCTGTATTTGGTAAGTCATGGTTAACTAGCAAATTGGTAATATTTTCATCTTTACAGAAGATGTAACTGTAATGTTACAAGTATGTTGCTTTAAATAATTAACAAAATGAAAATAATAGTGATGGGATCTATCTTAGCACCTGGGATTCCTCCACTATGTACTGATTGCCCAAAAGCAGCTTTGAGATGAAACTTTGTTGAAGCTAATTGCTTTTCCCAAAGGGTAGGAGGCATCACCTGGGCTTTTCTTGTTTGCCTTGTAGAAGTTGTTGCTGCAGCAGTAGGTGGGCTGAGGTGTGGAGAAGCTCACCTATCCACTGTTTGGGCTGCAGGTGGACATTTTGTCATTTATTGTGAAGCTGGTTTACGGCTGTTTCTCCAAGTCAGCCGAAAGACTGAAGAGGCTGGGATTGTTCTCCTTAGATTTGATAGGGGTATTCAAAGTTATGAAGGCTTTTGATGAAGTAAGTGAAGTGAGTTGATTTTGGAATGCAGTACCTGGAAGGGTGGATGAAATAGATCGAGTAATTTTCTGTAAGGAATTTATAATTACTCTACATTGAAAATTATAAGGCTATGAGGGAAACATCAGGGGCGTTGGAGTAATTGGACAGCTCTTTTAAAGGCCAGGACAGGCAAGTGAGGCAGAATGATCCCTATTGTTGTTTTTTCAATTTTATGCTGAATCTATTTCGTTTTTGCACAGAAACTCTCTTGGAATGCAATGCTCAGTTATTGGCCACCTTTTTTATTAAACATTCCAGAAGCTGAATTTGGATAAAGTCTTGCAATTGAATTGTAATAAATTTTAAGGAACTTTGATTTGTATTAGCTACTTTATCGTTTCATAGTTTTATAGTACAACTTGGATCAATATGTCACTGAGTTGAAATTACTGAAGCTATGTTACAAGGTTGAATTTCAGAGTTTCTGTTGAGAATTAATTCTGCACAGCTACTTCTCCCTCCTTTCCAATAACAATAATTGTGAGGAACTGATTGTACTCCTTTGTCACTAAGATTGAAATTAACCGATCAACTACCCCTTCCACCTTTCTCTTTGCACTTGTTTATTGGGTCAACTTCCTGTCAAATTGCCTGAACTTGTGTCTTCCTCCAGTTTCTCACGTATCTCCCTTCATTTTGTTTATGGGACCCACTTCTTGCTCCCTCTACCCTCTTCCTACTAAATTGCTGACCGCTTAACTACCCATTATTTGTCTGAAGTTAGCTGGTGTGTTAATGGTTTCTGCTCCAAATTTGCTGTTCCCCACCCCCATCAAAAATGATGTACCTTTGACTCCATAGGCTTTGTCATTTACCAACCAATCTCGAACTTATGTTTCCTTCCTAACATTTTGAAATATGTTGTTTCCAGGTACGCATTTCCCAGAACTGTGTTTACATTTATCCAGTCAACTGAACTGCAAATATCACCCCAACCCCCAAATCACCACTACCTCCACTTCCACACAAAAAACACACCCACCCACAAGAAAATGAAATTTCTAGTTTCAGCCTTTGCTTTGTTATTAGTACTTTTCTTTGTCAGGAGGTTGCCAGATCAAGTCACCACCTAGATTGCTTATTACCTCACCTTCAACATCCTCCTCCGAACAGACTTGCCTCATTCTATTATGCTTTTGGCAGTTCTAGGTTCCAGTGCCAAGTTATTGATAGTCTCTGTTTGCTACTGCAAGCTTCCAACTCATTCAAAGCTCAACCAGCAAAATGTTCTGATTGTCCATTCAATCCATTTTTCTCTGATTTCTGTCAGTGGTTTGGTGTCTCAAAGTGTTAAATTTGATAATTTATATTTTAAATTTCATCTGTAATTGTTGTACCCATCCTTTTCAACCTTGTCCAACCTCCTGCGCTGTGGTTCTGTCTTACGACTTTTCCGATCTCTCTCTTTCTATTGACTTTGGAAACATTTGTTGATTCTTTCTGTCTGTTCACTCCTTTCCATCTTTTTCACCTTTCATTACTAACTTTTTGACTATTTCTTGTTTTGGGGTCTGTTTGAGCCCCTCATTGTCGTCTTGAGAAAGCATCACTTTCTGTATTAGAGATGTCAAATTAATACAAGTTTATCTTGTGCCCTCTTTCAAAGGATGTGGACTGATTTTCTTTTCTCTGTTCTTGTACAGCTGTCATTGAGCATGTGCGAGATGGGAGTGTTGTGAGAGCTTTGTTGCTGCCTGACTACTACCTGGTGACAGTTATGCTTTCTGGTATTAAGGTACATTTACATAACAAGATTTTCTGCTGCATTTCATGTATAATTATATTGACTTGCCATACTTGCAGGTTCAACTTATTTCTAGCCGGAACATGACTGAGGTTCTAAGTTCATTGTAGAGCTTAGTGATTTCTCTGAGTACCATGGTAATTTTCAAGTCATTTATTGCTTTTAGAATGTCAACATGCTGAAGCATTGATATTCATAGCATTCGCGCATCGAATGAAAAATATCCATACTACTTGTAATGTCAAAGGAGCTGAAAATGCTGGAAATACAATGGGCACCACTTGTTGAGGAGTTGCAACACTTTGTTTTTAATTAGATGTTACCTGACAAAGCAAAGGACTGTGGGAAATGAAGTTAAGGTTAAATTAAGAGATCCTTTGGTAGAAAAATCTGTCTTCCTGATGCATAATATGCAATAATATGTCAGCATTTCTGTAGGCTTTTAGTTTTCTTGTTCATTGTTCCATAAAGAAGAATATCCTTATTAGTTATTCCAAAATTCTGTTTGTGGTTTTCTTCTAAATTGTACTTTGACAGTCTAGATGGTTAAATTATGTGAGATTTAAACTTTATATCTATCATAAAATTCAGCCCAGGACGTATCTGCCCTAGTCAGTCAGTGAATAGTGGTGTTCAATTATTGTGCACTCCACCCAAGTGAGTTATGAGAATTTTTTCTGTTGGTTATCTTGGGAACACAATAATTTCCTCAAAATTAAACAGTTTAAGCTGAGTTATGAAGTGCGGGTCCGTATCATCTCCATATTTATAAATTTCTGCTGGAAGTTATGTTTCATCCCATTCCAGACACACAATCATATAGCATGGAAACAAGTGCACAGCAGGCATCCAATCTGACCTAGTCCTATTTGCCAGCATTTGGCCCATATCCTTCTAAACCCTTCCTGTTTATGTACCCGTTTAAATGTTGCCTTTAATGACGCCTTTAAATGTTGTCATTATACCTGCCTCCACCACTTCCTCTGGCTGCTTGTTCCATACACGCACCATCTGCTGCGTGAAAAATTTACCCCTCAGGCTCTTTAAATCTTTCTCCTTTCACTTTAAACCTATGCCCTCTAGTTTTGGACTCCTCCACCCTCTGAAAAAAAGCCTTGGCTATTCACCCTATCCATGCCTCTCATTGATCTTATAAACCTGTGTCTGTGCTCAGGGGATAAAAGCCCCAGCCTATTCAACCTCTCTCTATAATTCAAACCCTGCTGTCCCAGCAACATCCTTGTAAATCTTTTGTGCAGCCTGTCAAATTTAATGGCATCCTTCCTATAGAAGCACAACCAGAATTGTACACAGTATTCTGGAAGTGCTCCCACCAATATCCTGTACAGCCACAACATGAAATCCCAATTCTTATACTCAGTGTTCTGACCAATGAAGGCAAGCATGCCAAATGCCGTCTTCACCCTATCTACCTTGCGACTCCACTTTCAAGGAACTATGTATCGGTACCCCTCGGACTCTGTGTTCAGCAAATGCTCCAGGGCCCCACCATTAACTATAAGTCCTTGCATGGTTTGCCTTAGCAAAATGCAACACCTCATGTTTATTGTCATTAAATTCCATATGCTACTCCTTGGCCCAATAGCCCACCTAATCAAGGTCCCATTGTATTCTGAGGTAATCTTCTTCACTGGCCACTACACCACTTGTTTTGGTATCATCTGCAAACTCACTAACCATACCTCCTATATTTACATTCAAATCATCTATATAGATGACAAAAAGCAGTGGACCAGCATTGATCCTTGTGGTACACCGCTGGTGGCAGGCCTCCAGTCTGAAAAACAACCCTCTACCACCACCCTCTGTCTCCTACCTTCAAGCTAATTTTGTATCCAGTTGACTAGCTCTGCCTGGATCCCATGTGATCTAACCTTACTAACCAGTGTTTCACGCGGAACATTGTCAAATGCTTTACTGAAGCCCATATGGACAACGCCTTTATCATTCTTTTTTTGTCACCTCTTCAAAAAAAACTCAATCAAGTTAGTGAGACATGATTTCCCACTCAAAGCCATTGCAAAGCATTTTCTTGGTTCAGTTGGAACTTGAACTTGACAAGTACGTTTCAATCTGCAGAGTTTAGTGATCAAACATGTACATTTGGAATCACCTCGGTTTGTGCTAACATTTAGCAATTGGATCTTCTGCCTTTGGAGCCAGAAAGGCTCAAATATTGCTGTGCTTCAACAGTTGAATGATATAATCTATATTACATGGCAAATCACGTACCTTATGGGCATTTGATTATTTAGAGCAGTATCACAGGAGATATATTGGAACACTTTTCCATTTCTGGTTGCCACTGTCGTAATTAAGCACTCCCAAGACTTAGGATGATGTGGCGATAGAATAAAGTCCCTTTACATTGCACCATCCAAACACTTGAGTAACATATTGCAGGATTGAATGCAAAGTGTCCTGTTTCTCCAACAATGTACCTGAGCTTCAGAAAGCAATACAGGTTAAGAGTATGTTTAATAAAGCATATGGTGACCTGAACTTTATAAACATTGTAAGAAAGTTATGTTTCACCTCTATTAAAAATACTGGTTTCAGTTCAACTGGAATATTTTTTCTTGTTTTGGGAGTTCACATTAGGAATGATATGAAGTCATCACAGGTAAGATCCACAAGAATACTTCCGGAGTTGAGGGACTTAACGTTAAATAGATTGGAGAAACTGGGGCAGTTGCCTTTGGAGAAGAGAAGCTTGAGGCGCAATATGGTTCGAACATTCAAGATCTTGATGTTATGACACAGACAGCTGAAGCAAATCCATTTTAACCTCTGTATTTGCAACACTGTAAAATTAAACCATCAAATACACCCAAGTAGTTAATGTAATGATTCTTAACCAGACTTTTGAATAATTAATCCCAGACATTGTGACTAATTTTTAAATACTGTTTTTAATCTTAACTGGTTTAAAAATTTATTAGATACAAAATAACATTAGTGGAGAAAAAAAATTGAGCAACATGGTAAGCTGATAAGCGTCTGTACTTTAAATTTGAAATTGTTGTTTCCATCCCCATTCACGTAAAAGACAGAAAAGCATATACAGTTAAAGGGGGGAAAAATCACCGTTCAACAACTGCAACTGCTCAAACATTTCTCTTTCAGACTGGCCAGAACCAGGTTCCAGGTACTGACCTCATTAATGGTCAACTCCTGCTATTTGTTCAAACACAATGGTTTTTCCCAGGGTCACAGAGTCATACAGAACAAGAACAGACCCTTTGGTCCAACCAGTCCAGGCTGAACATAACCCCAAACTAAACTAGTGCTACCTGCCTGCTTCTGGCCCATATCACTCCAATCTTCCCTATTCATGTATCTATCCAAATGTGTCTCAAATGTATAACTGTACCTGCATCCACCACTTCCTCTGGAAGGTTTTCCACACACAGACAACCCTTCGTAAAACAAAAAAATTGCCTCATGTCTTTTTTAAATTTCTCTCCTCTCATCTTTAAAAATGTGTCCCTAGTCTTGAAATCCTCCATCCTGGGGAAAAGACTCTATCTATACCTGTTATAGAGGGCATCAGCAGGGAATAATTTGATCACTTCTGTAAAGGAAAAATGTTCAAGGAAAAGGTGTGTGTGTCACATTAGCAATGATCATAGAATGGCATGGAAGACTTGAGAGGCTGAATAGCATATGCCTTTTCCTATTTCTAACGCTGTTTACGTATGAGGTGAATTGTTCTTGTTTGACCTAGATTCTATGGGATGAATGGCCTTTTGTGCCGTAAACATTTTTAACAGTGTGAAGATAAAACGCCATATCAAACAAATGGTTTAAGCTTCAAAAACAGAAATTGCTGGAAAAGTTCAGCAGATCTGGCAGCATCTGTGGCGAGAAACCAGAGTTAACATTTTGGGTCGAGTGACCCTTCCTCAGTATGGTTTAAGCTGCAGGGTGGGTTTGCATGGAGGAAGCCTTTTGACTCCTTTCATAATTTCACAATATTAGTCTTGTTATCTGCCCATTGCAACTTTCAATATCTACACAAACCTATTCGATGTATTTCATGTATCGTCTGCAAAACAGCACTTCTTACTCAACAGTGCTTTGTTTCCATGGTACTGGAGTGCCTTCCCAGTTAATATGCTTAAAATTGCAACCTACTGTCTCAGAAATGTGAGCTGAGGTAACCTGACAATACTCAATGGCTGTAATGTGGCCCACCTTTATACAGAATTTCTTTCTGGATTACCTGAAAGTAATATGAATGAAATGTTATTACTACAGCTGTGTGGATCTGCCAAGACTAAAGAGCGCATTGCGCAAAGAACAGCTTTGTGTGGCTTATTCCACAATGCGTGGTAAGTTCCCAGTATGCGTAAAGTTTCTAATACTTTATACATTTGTCTGCGCAGTGCCCGACTTTTAAGCGTGAAACTGATGGGACAGAAACACCAGAACCATTCGCAGCAGAATCAAAATTTTTCACGGAATCCCGCCTTCTGCAAAGGGATGTCCAGATCATCTTAGAAAGTGTGCAAAATCAAGTCATCCTAGGAACCATCCTGCATCCTGTGAGTTTTGTCAAAAGACAAAGAAACTGCTGTTTGGGTTTGTGTGCGTAAAAAATTATGCATGTAGGGTAGGATATCTCTTAAAATTTAGAAATGTTTTGTACCTAGCATCTATAAAGTGGTCATGTTGTTGGAGTCAACAGCCGTTTGTACTATCTGTGAAATACTTTCTGGTCAAACAAAGCGTTAGGTGCAGGGTAATTCTCCAGCCTGTACCATTGACCATTTAGTTTGGTGTAATATATGACATGCATTTTTAATGTCCCCTTATTATGCCTGTAACTCTCTTGCATCGTATGTTCTATTTCTGAGGATTAGTGGTGGAATGGTAGCTATCAACTTCTCTGAAGTGACATTTGATCATTCATGTTAGGAATTTTGATGTGATATCAATTAATGGACTTTTGCAAGTTATAAACCTGGCTGCTATATCCACTAGTTAAGAGTGGGTGTACACTACGCAGTTGCTCTGGTGACTATTGGAGTGCATTATCCTTTGAATTTGTACCATGCTCCTTTTTTCTGTTGTTTAAAAACCTTAACTCTTGCTTGGTGGACGGTCTAGTTGAATCCCTCCCCCAACCCACAAGATGGGGGACCCTTCTATGTAAAACTTCATTGGCGTGAACCTGTGTGTATGTAGTTTTTTTTTCTATTCTTTAATGGGATGTGAACATTGTTAGAAAGCCAGCCTTTGTTCCTCCTCTCTAAATACTTTTGAAGGTGACAGTGAAGTGCTGACGTGAACCACTGAAGTCTATCTATTGTTGTATACTCACCGTGCCATTGAGAGGATTTTTGGTTTTTGACTGAAGGAGCAATGATTGTATTTCCAAGTCCAGACACTGAGTTCTACTATGTAGGATTAATGAGTTTATGAAGTGCTGTCAAAGGAAGCTTGGTTAGTTGATGCACTGCATTTTTTATATGGTACACACTGTTAGCACAGTGCATTGCTGGTGAGTAGTGAATTTTTTGTGGTGGGGATGGTGCACTGATCAAGTGGGCAGTGGCCACTCTCACCTCAAACATATTGAATTCAGTTCTTTCGTTCATAGTTATGCCTATGATAGCACTTTTTAAGGCTCTTGTAGTGCAAGTCTGCTTAATATGTCTGCTGATGGCACCTGTGTGATTTTAGACTGAAAGAAGTTGGCTGAGAAGCAAGATTAAAACTCAACTGAAGCTATTTCATTTGGCCATTTGGGAAAATCTGGTTTCAGAAAGAAGAATAATTTGCTTTAGTGTTGGTGATGCATGAGAAAATGTGGGAAAAGGCATTTTTACTAGAAAAGAACCATAGAAAGCATGCTTAATATTTAATGACACTGGTTCCAATTTAAAGGGCTGTTGTAAATGCATATAGGAACAAGCCTCCCACCTCACTCACTTTACTGGTTTGTGGTAAGAGTATAGCTGCTTTGGACTCTGATATGAATGGCAGATGCACAGGAGTCTGCACCAGGCAAAAGCAAGAAAAGACATGGCCTGCCCTTCTTCTTGATGATATAACCAGAAAAAATGATATTTATTTATGTTGTCTTCTAAAAAGAAATATTAAATATTTATTTCATCCGCAGAATGGTAATATAACGGAATTGCTGCTTCGTGAAGGATTCGCTCGCTGTGTTGACTGGTCGATTGCAGTTTACACGCAGGGTCCAGAAAAGCTTAGAGCTAGTGAAAGGTAAATTGTTTTATTGTGTGACTTGAGATTTTGAAGATATGTAGTGGAGCTCAAAAAGAGCTAGCCAGAAATGTAATGCTGAATTTATCTGAGAGCATTTAATTCGTTGGAACAAGGGAACAGGAGTAGACCATTCAGCTCCTGGAGCCTGTTTCACCATTGAATGAGATCATGGCAGATATGTGGTCTAACTCCAAATACTTGCCTTTGGCCCATATCCTTATTGGGTATGGAGAGAGTTTGACATCCCCTTCTGCTTCAAACTTCATTTGATCACGGTACAGACAATTGCATAAGTTGAAAGATGTGAGATGAGAAACAATGGAGTTTTAAACTTGCTTGCATATTTCACAGGTGATAAGAGTGGCAGATTGCCTGCTGAAGAAATTTTGCCACAGTTGTCCCAATGTGAGTTGTGCAATGTTTTAAATAGGCTTTTTGGTTATGTTTCTGTAGTGACCACTAGGCCAGTGCAAATGCTGTCACAGGCTGGGAAGGAAATAATTAGCCACGCTATTTGGGAATCATTTTCAAATCTACATTGGGTAAAAGGCTAGAAGAAGCTCAGTTGTTGTGCTTCACTTCTTTCTCAACGAGTCTGCAATATCGTTTACTTTCTCTATAGTCGACTATGGATAAGTCAATTGAATGAAGGTGAGCAGTGTCTGTGGAACTATTTCCCAAAGAGTTGGTGCCTGGTGTGTAAGTTTGGAAGACAGTGTGGAAAAGAATGAACCTTTTTTTTTGTTTTGCTCCTCCTCCCACAAATTCAATACCTATGGTTCATATTGGTATAAAGTAGAGGGATTTTAAAGTTGATGTGCAGGTGTAGCATGCATCAAGGTAAATAAATGACCAGAAGCTTAACTGGACCTGCATGTAAGTACTGTAGCTGTTACAGATGGTCAGAGACTGGAAATTAATAAATTGCCTCCTGACTTCCCAAAGCTTGTCCTCTATCTACAGAGCACGTCAATAGTGTAATGGAATAATTTCCATATGCTTGGATGAGTGCAGCTCCAGAAACTCAAGGAACTTGACAAAATGCAAGAAAAAAATGATCCACTTTGATCAGCACCCTTAAACATGCACTACCTCCACCAGTGGTGCTTAGTGGCAAAAAAATGCATCATCTACAAGATGCAGTGCCTTAACTTGCAAAGTATTCTTCTACTGCACCTCTCAAACCTTTGGACTCTACCATGTACTTGGAAAAAGGCAGCAGATACATGGGAACACCATCTGCAAGTTTCCCTCCAAGCCATGCATTGTCTAGACAAAGAAACATAGAAAGTAGGAGCAGGAGAAGGCCATTTGGCCCTTCGAACCTCCATCTTTCAGTTTAATGGTTCTTGATCATCCAATTCAATAGCCTGTTCCTGCTTTTCCCCCATACCTTTTGAACCCCCAAGAATTAAATCTAACACCTTGTTGAAAGTATTCAATGTTCTGGCCTTGGCCACTTTCTGTGCTAGAGTATTCCACAGGCACATGCTCTCGAGGTCAAGAAATTTCTCTTTATCTCAGTCCTGAGTGGCGTATCCTGTTATCCTTAAACTGTGACCCTGACCCCTGGTTCTGGACTCTTGATCGTCAGAAACTTCCTTCCGATGTTCACCCTGCCTTGCTCGGTTAAAATTTTATAGGTTTTGAGCCACCCCGAATTCTTCTAAACTTCAGTGAATATTGTCCTAACTGTTGGAAAAGGTGCAGAGGAGATTTACCAGGATGTTGCCTAGAATGGTGGGAAGGTCTTATGAGGAAAAGTTGAGAGAGCTAGGGCTTTTCTCTTTAGAACGACGAAGGATGAGAGGTGACTTGATAAAGGTGTACAAAATGATCAGAGGTATAGATAGAATAAACAGCCAGAGACTTTTTCCTCTGGTGGAGGTAGCTATTATGAGGGCATAGTTTTAAAGTGAGTGGAGGTAGATATAGGGGAGACGTCAGAGGTAGGTTCTTTACTCGGAGAGTGGTAGGGGCGTGGAATGCATTGCCGGAAAGAGTAGTGGAGTCGGCCTCATTAGGGGCATTTAAGTGGCTATTAGATAGACATATGGGTGATAGTATAAGGTAGGGGTGGAGGTTAGATAGACCTTAGGTTTATGGTAAAAGTTTGGCACAACATCGTGGGCCGAAGGGCCTGTACTATGCTGTACTGTTCTATGTTCTGTGTTCTATGTTCCATTCTGTCTTCAGACGTCAGTCCCGCCATCCCAGGAATCAGTCTGGTGAAGCTTTGTTGCACTCCTTGCACAACCAGGATATTCAAGACCTATTAGATTTTTGAATTTTTAAGGGAATTGTTGGGGGTCAAATTGTGGAAATGTGATCTTGAGATAGAACACCACCCATAATAATATTAAATGATGTTCTAGACTCTATGACCTTTTACTGCCCTATTTCCTTTGCACTTCTGTATTGATTCCACCTCCAACAGTCATGTCATGTTTCAATTTTGGAAATGATCATGTGTAAAATCTCCTGTAAGGTGAATGCTAATGTTGGGAGGAGGCATTGCTGAATAAGTGGGAGGTATTGATTCTCTTGTGCACGTTAAATCCATCCTGAGGCACATACACAGCAACGCTGGTATTTTTCTAAAATCTGTGCCCAACTTCCAATTTCTTCTGTCTAGATTACACTTCAGATTTTATTTTCCTGTTCTCAGATGAACATGAGTTTTCATGTGGAAGGGTGCAAATGAGGAGGCTGTGATCCTTGTCTGGGCTCTGGTCAGAACTGTATGAGAAGACAAAGGCTTGCAGGACCCTGGAAATGTCAGCTGTGCATGCTTTAAAATATGTTCATAAGTGCTAAATATTCCCTTAAACTATGTTCTGAATACACGTAAAAAATGCCTGTCCACCTGAATTATGATGACTTAATTGCATCTGTGCAATTGGTGACTAAGCTGTGTAAGATTATTGAGTAAACTGTGCTCACTTGCCATCTAGTGGCGCATTTGTGTGCTGCATTGGATGGCAAAGGGAATAATTTTGCAGTTGAATTGTTCCTTTGTTTATTGCGAACACTGAGAATGTTGCACATATCTTTGTAACACAGTGCAAAGTCTGCTTTAGCTGCCAGACTTCTGATTGATAGTTGAATTAGTCCAATGACCTTTCCTAACCCCCTGTTCCTATTTACAATCATACAAATTTACAATTTTACAAAATAGTTGATGGGTTGATGGATTGATGTATTATATGTACTTCTTTGTACCTTTACCCCTTTGAAATTTTTCCACTAACCAGTCCAGCAGATGTGGCTCAAAGTGGCTTAAAGTTCAACTGGTTTAGGTGATCCTATGAACGCAGTACATCCTGAACCTGTTTAGCAAGGACATTCTTGCTGTGGTAATTCAAAGCCTGCCATTCAACAAATGGGGTTTGTGACAAGGAACTTATTGGTGACTTTGTGTTTCTGATTCCCAGAAGCGGAGAATGTCTGCTCGCAAGTACTGCTGAGGAAGTTTGTTCCATATGGTCTGCCAAATTAGGAGGCAGGTAGTAGCTACATTGGACAGGTTGTTATGGAGTGGTAATTGGTATGCAGTATGAATGGTTTCAGCAACTTTGGGTTTTCATTAGTTTGCTGATGGGAGTGAGTTGGGACTGATGTTGAATGGAATGCTGCATTTGTGTCAACAAGATGTGTGTGTGACCTTTGCTGTAGATGTGTACAGTACTCTGCTGTAGAGTAGGACACTTAGGTCTGGAATGTTGTGGCGACAGCACGCACACACGCATACCACCACCGCCTCC